AGCTCATTAGCATAAGTAGGGAGAGGTAGTGACCTGTCACAGTCACCTGTCACTTGCTATGACATACTAATGTGATGGAAGCGGGATGAATAATACTACTTAGGTGAAATAACTGTTTTCACAATAACATGCAGTAAGAGACATTTCCTAAGGTGCAGATGTAGATCGTATTTTTGGTTAAAAAGCGTTGTCCTCTAGCACCAGCATACACACCATACATTTGGAAACATTGATGTATTGAATTTTGCAGCCTCTTGAGGGGACTAATGGGGCTTCACGTATTCAGTTGTGCAACTATATATAATGACAATCTGCTACAGCAGTGGTTCCCAAACTTTTTCTGTCAGGCCCCCCCTTTGGAGGAAAAAAAAAGTCGGGCCCCCCCAACACAAGTCAGGCTCAGTGGCGGCGCCAGAGATTTATTTTGGGGGTGTTGTGGGGTAGCTTGACGTTTCATAGAGGGTGCTCAAACATTTAGGGTTTCCCATTAATGTACCGGTCGCTACAGTGGAATTTTCTACTGCAACAATCCCCACGCACACACACAACGTACCCGCGACTGTTACAATGAAGGCTCGATAATCAGCTCACGGCATATAGGTATAAGCAGGGGTAAAAGTGCTATTTTTATAGGTGGTGTGTGGACCTGACATAGGGGGGTCCGGGGGCAAGCTCCCCCGGAAGATTTATTTTTAAATATTGAAGTTAAAAGCATCAATCTGGTGCACTTTGAGAGCAAAATGAAGAGATCTATGGATACAACTCTAAACACCCATTTGAAACAGAACTGTAAACAGATTTACTTTTTCTTTATGGATATTTTACAAATCACCCTTTTAAACTTTATTATTTTTTTACTGTCATTTAGTTTTTCATCCCTGTTTTTCATTTATTCTCTTATTTTTTTATAACTATAATAATCATATAAACGTGTGCGTCGGAAATAATTGTTTACATTAATGGTGACCAAAACGTTTGAGACCCACTGAGATAACACTGAGAGTCCTTTAGCTTAGCAATTTTTACCTTTTTTTGTGTCTGTCATGCCCCCCACTTTGGGAACCACTGTGCTACAGAATCTAATGATGTTCGCATGCTCTTTGTTCATTGGTAAATAATGATGCAAATAAGTTAACTCTGTTAACTATCATGCAGAAAAAAGTTCCTTTTTAGTCTGTTGTTCCCTCTTTTGGTGAAGCAATGTAAGCAGGTGTTACTTGAAAGAATGCCGTTTGTTGACAAGCAAACAAATTATGCCTTCTGTGATTTAATTGATGGTAAAATCTACTTTAATCATTTGACAAAAAACACAAACCTACGCAGAAGCCTGATGCATTTGTTTATGTTGAATGTTTATCTTTCAATGTGCACATTTATAGAAGCTTGTAATATAATTATTTTTGCGTGTGAGGAGCTACATCTGTCCTTTTCATTTTTGTTTCGCCACTTTGAAATACTATCCATCTTAATCTAATGGATCCAAAAAGGTAATATCTGCTTTTCACAACTCTTATATCTTCTTCTGGGTTAGAGAGAAGAGCTTGTGCATATAGAGCGTCTATTTTCCAAAACACCTGGTCCGAGAAAACAAGCCATAGGGGATCTTCAAATGTTTCGTGACATTCGTTTGCAGCAACACATACAGTAATGCAATGCAGACATGAAGGGAAAGAAGGGATTATGGGCTTCCTACACTGGCATTAGTTTGGTTAGATACAGCAGTGAGCAGAGATGGACTGACCCGGCTTCTGCAAAGCTTATAGGTTTGCTATACAAGATTTCTGATCAATAAGAAGGACATTTGCGAGTGCATTTCAGGCCCTGCTCCTTTATACATGCCCTTCAGCAAATATGTTTTTCTCTTTTGCCAGCTTTTGCATTATTAAAACAAACCAGAAATAAGTGAAAAATAACCAAACCATCAATTGTACTTGCTCAGACGAGCCAAAGACTATGGCTTGTGAAAGCACGTCTAAATGTATTGCCTTTGTTAAGCCCATTCCACTGAACAGACACCATGCATTGAAGATAACAGGGTAGAGTCTTTCCTAATGCACCAGGCGCCTCAGCAATTGAGGGATTGCAGCACTCACTTCCTCGGTGGCCTCAACACCAAACTCATCATAACCCTTTCTGGCTCTCTCATCATATCCTTTGAAACAGTCCAAACCTATGAGGGGTAATGGGTGCTGGCTTCAGTCACATAAGAGCTGGAGCGAGAAAGAGGCAGGCACATAGACACAGAGGGACTAAATTAGATTCTCTTTTGAAAAGAGCATAGAGAGAACTTCTGACCTCTCATTTGTCACCTCTGCTGCACATATTTCAAAGAATTTGAAGAGAAGGGATTATTTTGTAAAGAGGGTGAAAAGGAGCGTTTTCTGTCTCATTCTGGTCTCCTGAAACTCAATGTATAATTGTGTGTGAAAGGAATACATCAATAGAGTCAGGATGCTTTCTACTTTAGGACATAATGACTTAGATTGGAGCAGAAGGATGTGCGTGGTGAATTATGGAGAAGTGAGTCAAACTCTGCAATACAGGAACATTTCTTAGATAGCATGAATCCCACATTTAGCCTCATGTACAAATTCCTCTGATGTTTCTAAGTTTAATTAAATCAAGCGTCATTAAACGCTATTAAAAACAAAAATTAAGGATTTCTTCATACGATAATTAAAACTACTTATCACAAAGGCACCTCCTCTCTGCTTTCTGTTTTCTGCATGCTCTCCAGTATAAAAGCAAAAGAGCTTATTAGCACAAAAAAAGGTGGGTTCTTCTTACAAAAGCTGCTTAAAGTTATCTTTTGCTCTTTAATGAAGGATGATTAACTACAAGGCTTGACGCACAGGACACTGTTAGAAAGGTGTGTGGGCCTTTCTTCTGTTGCAAGGGTTATTTAAGAAATGTGCAATAGGCTCTCGTAGGAAACAACTTCCTCTAATGAGCACACATTCTCAAGCATGTTTACATCTCGTTAAAACTTTACTTGTTGCACTGAAAATAATCACGACATATATACTATAACATTTGCTATATTTCTACGTTTTTGTCCATGAATTCATGCACAGGATTGTCTGTATGAAGCGCTGCATTCATTTTAAGATGTTCTTTCTATAGTAGGTGTCAGGTATCAAATTCAGACATAGGTTTAAACTGAAAATGGAATGACAGTGTGGCCACTTGTCCTGTTATTACAATTCCTTGGACTTCAAATACCAAATATATTTGACAGAGCTGGTAAAGAGCTAAAATGCGGACATATTTAAACCATTAAGACAGAGGATGAAGAGATATTTAGTCAGGCAATAGTCAGGAATAAGCTAACAAGGTCGCAACAGAATGTGCAAACCGTTATATTAGTTCAAGAGATACATCACGTGAGTTGGTAAAGAGAGAGGTCGAAAGGAGTCCACAGGAAACCAAGGACAAATATTGACAATCTGGCTGGGAAGGAGAGGAAATGAGCTGGTTATATTCTGAAGGGCTGATGAAGGAAAGTGGAATCAAGTGAGCAGGTAAATGAGAGATTGAGAAGGATAAGGGGGAAAGTCTGAGGGCATTTTCTGGTTATTAATGGAGGCAGAACGACAGGATTAAAGACAGATTTCATTTATTGCAAAGTGTTAGGACTATTGCAAAAACCAAGCAGCTCAAAAATATCAGCTTTAAAAACAAAAAAGAAGAAGAAAAATAAAGAAATCCCATCAAGAAAAGCTTTGGAGTTTTTATTCTCATCTGGGAGATGCTGATATGAAACCATTGTTACAAAATTAGCGACAGTTCCAGTTTTACGCCGAAGAGGGAAGTTGATCCCGAAGCTTGACGACGTATCTGCTTCATTTAGCTGGTTTTGAATTGGGCTGATGCATGGGATCTTTTTTAAATGTATTGTAAAACAGTGGGCTAGCAAATTCACACTTGTTTTTCTTTGCATTTTTACTGGGCATTCATTCAATCTCAATGTAGATGCAACATGTTTTCAAAACAGTATCTGTCCATGTACATACAAATAAGTTTACACATAAAAGAGATAAGCGATTTCAAATGTGGCTTCGACTTCAGCAAGAACACAGCGTGATGTTCATCTAATAATTCTTTGTTCTGTCAAAAAGATTTGGAGGAAAACTTTAGACACTGAAAAAACTGAAGCATTGACTTTAGTTACATGTTTTATGTCAACACATTTTACATCACTGTATGAGGTTAGTTGAAAGCAATAATATTAAATTGAACCAATTCAAATTTAAGATTATTGCTTTCAACTAACCTAATACAGTTATGTGAAATATGTTGACATAATACATTTAATTAAAGTCAATGCTTCAGTGTTTTCAGTGTAGTTGTCTGTATGCTAATTGAAAATATTCTTTCTAGCTAACTTAGTGCCTTAGAGTTGGAGCTTAGGCAGATACTTAATTAACAACATTTCCTCATAATGCTGATTAAAAGTAACATCTCTCCCAAAATACATTTGCTCTAACAAAATAGTAAAATTAGTAGAAAGTAGAATATTTGTGTTAATCATGTGGACATGTTTTACTGTGCTTCCAAGGTGACCGTCCAAGCCACCTGTATAACACTGACAGCCATGAGCGGGGACCGCTGTTACGTCACAATCTACCCTCTGAAATCTCTGCGCCACCGCACCCCGAGAGTAGCCATGATTGTCAGCATCTGCATTTGGATCGGTACGTTCTGCTCATTTAATGAAAAACTCTCTCCCACCATTTCCCCTAGGTACATTTAATCTTCCTGTTTTAATTCATTCACCACCGAGTTAATGAATAATTAGGACCAATTGTGAAGTAGGCACGGGAATTAGCATTTATGATGATTTCATCTACTTCAACTAACACACTCATCGTCCTTTCACAGGCTCTTTCATTCTGTCAACCCCAATTTTAATGTACCAGCGTATAGAGGAGGGTTACTGGTACGGGCCAAGGCAGTACTGCATGGAGAGGTTCCCCTCAAAGACACACGAGAGGGCTTTCATCCTCTACCAGTTTATTGCTGCTTACTTGCTGCCTGTCCTCACCATTTCCTTCTGCTACACTCTGATGGTGAAGCGGGTGGGCCAGCCCACTGTGGAGCCAGTAGACAACAACTATCAGGTATGCACAGGGTTCCTTTTGCTAATTAAAAGTGTAAAAGCTCTTCTGTTCTACATACTGGGACTGTCTTTATAATACTTCTTAACTTTTCTTTAATTTTGTCTGCGATGAAAGTGTCTTTTAAAACACCTTCCTTTTAAGAATTGTTGAATAATAACAACGGATTTAATGACTTCTGTAAAAGGTGTCACTCAAAACAAACCAAGATAAGTATAACCCAACGACGCAGTTTCCCTTAGCTCTATGCAGCGTCTCTTAGTTATTTAATTTAGATTTAAAGCCTGAAACTTGATTTAGCTCCTGCTCCCCACTCTGATAGTGATTTCTGAAAAATCACTATCTGCTCCCTGCTCTGCACCAAATGAGAAGCAGACAAAGTTAATGACTAGCTGGCGAACATATTGGAACATTCAGCATGAGCCGGATGTTTCACTCAGAGATTGGTAGAGACAAAAAGCAGAGGTAAAATCCAAGTCAAAGTACTCTGTTTGGTATTTCACTTTAACTCTCCTAACAAGATATTTAACATACACAGACTAGATCCCTAGAGACCCCAATAACAAACCAATGTAAAAAAAAACATCATCTAGGGAGCGTTAATGAAATCCTTTTCAAAACATTATTATGTTTAACATGAAGATAAACATAATTTCCGTGTATGTAACTGTTTGAACGAAGGTTTGTAGTATTAACTTTAGGGTTAGTAGGATATTCAAAGGGACATTTAAGATGTTTCATAATGTAACATTGGACCATATGGATGCTACCAGCAAGTGAAATGCAGGTAAGTGAGAGTTTAGCTAGGATACATAGAACATTCTTCTTATTATGATCTCATTATAGTCACAATCCTGCTCAATAACATCCACAAACAAAGATATTGTCAATTAACATATTTACTTACAAATCCTGTGTCAAACCATCTCTGCAAAGAAGGATGGCCACGGATTCAACACTAGTGATTCCCATTCTCTGCACACCATGAAAATATCCCTCTCTGAGCTACACTTCCTTTTTTATGACAACTTCCTGTCTAAAAGGAACTTAAAGCTGCTATACCAAAACTTCCAGAAGATGTCGCTATTAAGCCTGAACTTAATACTATAATACTCATCTTGTCCTCCTCAGGTCAACCTCCTGTCTGAAAGAACTATCAGTATCAGGAGCAAAATCTCCAAGATGGTGGTAGTAATCGTCCTCCTCTTTGCCATTTGCTGGGGTCCCATCCAGATCTTCATCCTCTTCCAGTCTTTCTATCCCAACTTCCGGCCCACCTACGCCACATACAAGATCAAGACGTGGGCTAACTGCATGTCCTACGCCAACTCTTCGGTCAACCCCATCGTTTACGGTTTCATGGGAGCCACCTTCCAAAAGTCCTTCAGGAAAACCTTCCCGTTTCTGTTCAAGCACAAGGTCAGAGATAGCAGCATGGCTTCCAGGACTGCCAACGCTGAGATCAAGTTTGTTGCTGCAGAGGAAGGCAACAATAACAATGCAACAAATTGAATCTAACAGTTAAAAAAAAGCAAGAAGGAAATACATGTTTCTACAAAGAGGCGATACCGCAAGAAGACAATTACATTAAAATAAGTATTCAGGAAGTGGATAGTGGCAAAAGGAGAGACTATGTTTGGCAGACATGTTTTAGTTTTGTTTACAACTCATCAACAAAATGATGTGGGGAAACGCAGACTCATTATACATGTGGAAACTGACAGTGTTTGGCACAATGTTACCTGTTTGACTGCCAAGGCCAGGCAGTGCTATTGGCACATCATCCATTGAGCTGCCACACATATCGCCAAACAACAGAAGACAGCCGTAAACCTCCCTGTAAGGCCATGGCTGCAGATTTGGTATAAACTATTCGGCATTTGGACAGTTGCAGATATGATGTATTCTATTATGAGAATATTGTATTTTGGAAATGACACAAGGCTGAATGTGCATTTTTACATGGACAACGAATATACTCAAACAGATGCCAATGGACAATGTAATGTGTTTCTATCACTGGAGATAAAGGTGTCTGCCATTGTGGGAAAACATTTCTTAAAGGTGCAGTGTGACATTTTATTTTCTTGAAGACAGGAACATAAAAGCTTTGTGAACACTCTCATGTCTGAATGTTAAATATGAAGCTAGAGCCAGGCGAGATTACTTTAGTTTAGCATATAGACTGGCCCTGTCCAAAGTTTAAAAAAACGTTTAAAATCTGACCAGGAGCTCTACAGCTCAGAAAGTAAAGAATATTTGATTTGTTATCAAAGGCTGTTGTTCTTTTAAGAAATAGTTGCAGCTCAAAACGCCCCATAAATAGAGAAAAATCTTAGGAGGTGAATACCTACTACTGTATGAACCTTTTTTTGCATCTTTGATCTTCCTAATTTCTGGTAATTTATCTACTGTCTGTTATAAAAGCACACACAACCTACAAATGTAATCTTAAGATTTCTATACACAACATAAACAGTGTTAATTGGCTTATTTCTGAATTTGAGATAAAACTAAGATACTGTAGCTAATACTCCTTAATTCCAGCCTGTATGCTAATGTACGGTATTTAGATAATATTGAAAATAATGTAAATATTAGATTTTTTTAAATCTCACTTGGCACTTAATAATACTGACATTCCATTTTTTTATGTAATTGATGTGTTCTCCTCTTTTTGTTTTCTTAAACACAACATGAAAGCTCTCAAGCACAAATCCCCAAATGTTATACCATGTTTCTTAAAAATCGGTCTATTAATGTTTCTTCATTTGTTATCTGTAGTTTTCATCTGAAATAATGTGGGACCAATTGTACCAATACCTCCTTTTAGTGTGTCTCAAGTAGAGGATATTATGATGGAGTTGGTAACACACAAGCCGGCATCTGAATAGTGAGTAGGATGTTAGTTATTTATATA